GGCTCCCCGCTGAGCAGAGAGCCCAATGTGGGACTCGATCCCAGGACCCTGGACTCATGACCTGAGCCGAAGGCAGAGGCTTTAACTCACTGAACCACCCAGGCGCCCAGGACTGTCCCAGTTTTAAAACTGAAAGTCTTGTGTTCCAGGGACGTGTCAGTCTCGGGCATACCGAGACAGTTGGCAACCCTAACTCCTGGTTACAACAAAACTGCTGAAAAAGAATCTATGTAGTAAACTGTCTTAATTTTACAGATGGGAAAAATGAAGTACTGAAACTACACACAGCTGTTTCAAAGTATAACTGGACCAAAGTTAGTTCTTTCCTGTGAGGGATCTATTTGTACATCACTCAGCCATAACCCTTAAATGCCAATTCATTGGTGTTGAAAAGTTTTCAGTATCTGGTTATCCTCATATATCTTTCCCAAACTCAAAGGACTGCCTCATAAAAGGAATTCAAGACTAGGGATGCTCCTGACCTTGGAGGAAGATACTGAGTAGAGGAAAGGAATAGTAAATCCATTTCTTGACACTGATATTTGAATAAATTCTGTAGGAAAGTTACTTTCTTTCCAGTTTCAGAAATATTTTTAAGTGAATGCTCATTTCTTTTTGTAATATTTAATGTAAAATAGCCTATTTGTATACTCTAGAGGATATATTCATATAGAGATGCACCTTATTAGACCTTAATAGCACTTTAATTCAAAGAAGGGGACAACTGAAGGAAAATCTGCTCGCTTATGGTGAATGTCCCCAAAATGTAAGGCCCTAGAACTAATGTTTGTCACAGTACCTTGCAGAGAGTCCAATATACTGAAGACATTCAAGATGCTAGTTTCCTTTCCTGAGCAGTGTGGAAAGATTGCAACTTTCTATATCTCTCAATTTCCTGGATTCCTCTTAACTAGCCACTGTGCAAATGAAGAATAAATAAGCCTGATAAGGCTTTTTTATGCCTGCAGAGGCTCGTCTTCATGTGCTTGTATTTAACAAATCCAGGATCCAAGAGGAGAAATAAAAGAGCTGCTTTCAATTAATCCACAAAAACAGGCATCTACATTCAATTTAAATTTGGACTTACCCCATTTTTTCATAACACTGAAGCATATACACAATGGCTTCTTTATAGCCCTAAAAGCTAACAATGAGATTCTTTTCCTTTTTCTTTGGGTTTCTTTCTTTTTTTAAGTACACTGGTACAAAATGAATATACACTTAGTGCTTTCTTTCCCCAGAATTTTTTTTATACAGTATCTCCTTTCAGTATTCTAACATTTTTCTGGGATAAGAGATAGTTAGTTGGGAGAACAGAAAGAACACTGGAGGAAGTTTGAAATTAGAAAGTACAGTTTTATGTTCCAGGTCTGTCATTTAACTTTCTATGTGATCCTGGACAAGCATTTAAACTATAGAAGGGGAACAGGGCACCTGGCTGGCTCAGCTGGTTAAGTGTCTGATTCTTGATTTCAGCTCAGGTCATGATCTCAGGGTCCTGGGATTGAGCCCTGCCTCAACCTCTGTGCTCAGGCTCAGCAGCTAGCCTGCTTGAGGATTCTCTTTCTCTGCCCTGTCCTCTGCTCTCTCTCCACCAGCCCACTCAAATAAACAGATCTCTCTTTCTTAGTGTTTTATTTATTTATTTGAGAGAGAGAAGTGAGAGCGAGCATGAGCGTGTGAGCATGCACAAGCTGGAGAAGAGGCAGAGAGAGGGAGAAGCGGACTCTCCACTGAGCAGGGAGCCTGATGTGGGGCTCAGTCCCAGGACCCTTGGATCATGACCTGAGCCGAAGGCAGATGCTTAAGTAACTGAGCCCCCCAGGTGCTCCATAAATAAATAAATCAAAATAAAATAAAACAGGACTAATACCTATCCAATGGTAACTGGAAAGTATGAGAATGTATACAGAAGATCTTTTAAGTTGTAGAAGACTTTTTTTTTTTTTTAGTTTAAGAGAGCAAGCAGAGCGTTCAAGAAAGAACACGAGTTGGGGTGGGAAGGGCGAGAGGGAGAAGTAGACTCCTCAGTAAGCAGAAGGCCTGATGCGGGGCTTGATCCCAGGACCCTGGATCATGACCCAAGTCAAAGGCAGACTCTTAATTGATGGAGCCACTCAGGCACCCCTGTAGAAGATATTTTTGAGAAGATAAATAAAAGATAAACCTATTTAATGTCACATTATCAAATGGCAGGGTTAAAATTAAATAAATCAGGCATGATATTCTGAGCAGCGGTGCCCTTAGAGATCTGGAAGGTACCACTGAGAACATTAGCACTAAGACTTACTAATATTACGTAAGTACATGTAATTATCAATAAAAATCCTGTGTCAATTGTACCTCCCCCAGAGCACCCTTTATTTTAATGTTAGTCACTAAGGTGTAAAAAAAAAAAAAAAGAAAAAAAAAAGGCAATCCAAAAAATTACCATGAAAGCCCCACAAAACCTGAGGGTGAGGGATATAAGTAACAGTGCATTAATAATGGAGAGCTCACTACGTACCAAGCAGTGCTCTTGGAGCTGGGGATTCAGGTTTACACGGCAGAGGGAGGCAGGCAAACACAAGAAGGCAGTAGACAGAGAGCTAGAAATACTAGATAAGTGCTATGCACAAGGAAAGCAGAGACAGGGTGTAAGGGGTGGCAGGGAAGGGCGGCTGAGGAAGGCAAGGCCTCACTGATAAGGTGACTCAGGAGATGACCTAAATAAATCAAGTGAAGGGAGACATCTGAGAAGATTGGGAGAATAATCCAGGACCCACAGACAGAACTGAGGAAGCAGTCAGGGAGAGAGAGGGTGCTGAGAGATAAGATAAGAGATAAGATAGACATGGGGGCACAGGATGGGGAGGTTAAAATGAGACCTCAGGGGCGTCTGGGTGGCTCAGTGGGTTAAAGCCTCTGCCTTTGGCTTGGGTCATGATACCAGGGTCATGATCCCGCATCCTGCTCTCTGCTCAGCGGGGAGCCGCTTCCTCCTCTCTCTCTGCCTGCCTCTCTGCCTACTTGTGATCTCTGTCAAATAAATAAATAAAATCCTTAAAAAAAAAAAAAAAAGACCTCAGACCAGATTTTATTCTGAGATGAGACCCCTGTAAGAGGTTGGGGACGCATAAGTGACATATACCTGTTTTTTTTTTTCCAAAATATATTAGTTGTAGAATCTTTTGTTCAAATGGATCCACAAGATAAAAGATAAAACAGGAGCTGCTCTAGCTAAGGAAGGGGTACCCAGAGACTAAGTTGGGGCTGTCCCCACTTTCCCTCTCTCAAGTAACAGTTTAAAGAAAGATGATTACAAAGTATCCAAACTACCAAACTACCAAACTACCAAAAACTTCATGATCTGGCCTCATCCTAACTTCTCAAAAAGCTATTCCTAGGAAATAGCAAAAAGGAGCAAATCAAGCAACTGTTGCAAACGTGTTGCCACAAAAACCAGTCTTTGTAACACCCACTGTCCACCGGATACCAAGAAAGCAACAGCTCCTCTCCTCTCCCTTCCCCCACACACCCCTCAGGCTACATACTACCCTTTACAGCTTGTGTTCCCTTTCAGGGCTTCCCCCAAAATCATTTTATCTTGATTTCACTTGATTAAAAATGTTTTGGCAGTACAGTGTGATCTGCCTCTGATGACATATCTCTGGATACTGCCTCCCTGTCTATTTATATTTTAGGAAAATTCTCCCTGCACTAGTGATATTTCTTCCATCAGTGATGACATCCCGGTTTGCTCTATTCTAATCTCACCCATCCATCAAAGTCTACTTTGTGAAGTCTCTTCCTCACATGTTGACCCTTGACTGGAATCCTAAATATTAGTCTGAAGGGAACTTCCAGGCTATCCAGTTGCTGCTCTAGCTCACTGCTCATTCCACAGACTAACCAGACTAATCCTTTGCAGATCTGGTTGGCAGTCTTCCAGCTTCTGTGACTGCTTTTAGTGACAAGGTAACACTACACCACACCCTTTCAGATGTACGGTAAATTGTAACACAATTCTTTTTTTATTGACCCAGAACCGGTTTCCTTCCACCACTGGTTCTGCTCACTGGTTCTAATAAAGGGAAGGGTGACCCCACCCCACCCAACCCGACCCCTCGCAGCCTGCATAGCTTATAGTTGGCCTTGTTGTTTTCCCTAATTCCGGGATCGACCTCTAAAAATCCTACCCATTTGCCAAGCCATCTCACAGGCCTTTTGTGGGGTCTAAATTCAATCTGTAATGACTAGCTATCAGAGTTGCAGGCTGATTTAATGTCTGTGTCCCATGCCACTGGTTACACCCCCCCCCCCAGTTTTTTTTTTTTAAGATTTTATTTATTTGACAGAGAGATCACAAGTAGGCAAAGAGGCAGGCACAGAGAGAGGGGGAAGCAGACTCCCTATTGAGCAGAGAGCCCGATGCGGGGCTCGATCCCAGGACCCTGGACTCACCACCTGAGCCAAAGGCAGAGGCTTTAACCCACTGAGCCACCCAGGCGCCCCTACATCCCTTTCCTGATTCTCTCCCTTGAACTCTCTTAGGATTTCTACACTTAGACTTGCACTCATCATGTGCATTCCGTCAGTGAGCATTTACTGGGCATTGTCAGGAACCACGATAGGCACTGAAAAAGTAAGAACCATGAAAGGTACTGAAAAAATAAAAGCAAATAAAATGTCCTCAACCCATGGTAGAGTAAGAGCAATATAGGTGAAATAATAAACAGCTGGGGAAGCTGAAGAAGGCTTTAATGGAGGAGCCAATAGCCGAGGCAGGGAGCCAATAGCCGAGGCAGGGAGGAACTGTATCAACACCCATGTCTCACACAGCCTTGTGTCCCCAGCACTAAATGGTACAGTGCTTTACCATCACTTTAAGTTCAGCAAATAGGGAAACTCGGAAAAGTAGAGAAAGTCTGCTTAGCCCCCTCAGCCTCTCTTGGACATGAGGGAAGGTGGTCACTAAATCCATAGTCTGGCAAGGGCAATTTCAGAGGCTGACACTGTACCTGGCTACGTACAGTATTGCTCGGGTGGTTGTCCTCGGACATCTGTGCATTCTGGAAGTAGGACAAGGGTGCAGGTAACTCTGTCATTGGAGCAACTGTATAGAAATACTTTTTCACAGAAAACAAAGCCTCTTGGGGTTCTGAAAAGGGAAAAAGAAAATAATCCTTTGTGCATTACAATTATACTTTCATTTTTAAACACTTTTGTAAATTACATTCAACAAAAACAAACCTTTCTTTCATGTGTTCTTCTCCAGGCCAAGCTTTCTAAGGACCCGAAGGCTGTCACTTGTGGGCTTCCGGATTAGGTCTGAAATAGGATTTTACCAGGTCACCTAGAGTAAATCTATTCACACCAATCAAGTACTTAGAATATTTTTCTATTTGTAATTTGTAAGCCAGAAATGTATTCATCTGCCATCAACTTCAAGTGACAAACTTTTGTTAGCTCAAGATATCTCTTTGGTAATCAGTAGATCTACTTGAGAAACCAAATACTTTTAATCAAAAAATATCTAATGATTTCAGATTTAGAGCAAACGGAGCTAAATGATATTAAAGAATGTTCTCATCAACATTCCTTTTTCTATGCTAATTCAACCTAAGCTTTCTATCTCCATAAAATTGTCTAGTGCTTTTACTTTGGCAAAATTTTGTCATCTCATTTTATCCTTACCAAAATGCCCAAGCCCAGGTAAACGGGTAACATACCTGTTTTACAAAAGCAGAAGAGAACTTAAGTTCACTGACTTGCTTAAAATCACACAACTGGGCAGACCAGGACAAAAATCACAGACTCCTGACTCCGAGCCTTAGGTCTCTCCCTTGCATCCTGGCACAGCCTTATTTACACACATCATTCGGTCTCCCAGAGTTCACTCTCCTGGTGGGGTGGGAGATGGGGGGGGGGAAACGACACACATTCCCATTTGCTGTCTGCCTTAATTTCCATCAGCCAATTCTTTATGATTTCAACTTTGCTTTTCTTCTTTTTAAATTCGTTTTAGAGGTAGAAATTAGTGATTCATCAGTTGCATATAACACCTAGTACTCATTACATCAAGTGTCCTCCTTAATGCACATCACCCAATTACCCCTTCCCTCCAACCCCCACCTCCCTTCCAATAATCTTGTTTGTTTCCCAGAGTTCAGAGTCTTTTATGGTTTGCCTCCCCCTCAATTTTCATCTTATTTTATCTTTCCTTCCCTTCCCTTATGTTCATCTGTTTTGTTTCTTAAATTCTACACATTAGTGAAATCATATGGTATTTGTCTTTCTGTGACAGACTTATGTCACTTAGCATAATACCCTCTAGTTCCATTCAATTTTCCTTTTCATAGAAAGTCTTCAGAAATACAGAAGGAAAGAAATCTGTTTGTGTATCTAAGCAGTATTCTCATTCATAGTGACTAAAACATTACCATGTACACACTCACATGAAAGTATCTTATCAAACTCCTATTTCATTTTCACTTTCAACTTGATCCTCTAAATACTTGATCCTTGATCCTCTAAATACTGTTTTTATATTCTAGTGATTTTTTTCATCAAAAACACAGAAAGCAGGTTAAAAAACAAACAAGGAAAGTAACTTTTTCTCTAGCATTGAGTTCAAATTAACTCTTAATTACACATGTATCTAGATCACTTAAACCATGACGAATTTTTAATCAAGGTATGCTTCCCTTCTGTCCCACATAGTTTTATATACCATGCCAATCTTTCTCTTCCCTTCCAGCTCCAGCCCATGATAAACTGACATGGATCAAGGGATTGCAAATTAATACTAAGACACAATTAATATAAGTTTGTTTTAAAATAAAGTGAATTAAAAATACAAAGAGAGAACACTTACTTTTATGGTGGTTATTTGCTCAAAGGGGGATCTGGGAAGCTTTGGGGGGTATTGGTAATGTTTTGTTTCTCAATCTGAGTGCTAGTTACACAGGGATTTCAGTCTGTGAAGATGCACTGAGCTGTACCCCCACAATGCGTACCTTGCTATATACTTCAATTTTATACTCAGATATTTTTGTAGACATAAACCTATATTTATGGTTATTCATTCCATTGGTCCTAACTTTTTTTTCTCTTAAGATTTTATTTCTTTATATGTCAGAGCAAGAGAAAGAGAAACTGAGCACAAGCAGGGGGAGCGGCATACAGAGAGAGAAGCAGTCTTCCCACTGACCAAGGAGCCGGACACAGGACTCGATCCCAGAACCCTAGGATCATGACCTGAACTGAAGGCAGACACTTAACCAACTGAACCACGCAGGCTTCCCTAGTCCTAACTTTTAAAATGAATAAGATTGAGTCCTGGCAGCGTGTATATTAACTTACCCAAAAGACAGGTGGAAGGCCAATAGAACAAATATATTTTCTAAGTACAACAGTACTGAGTGAGAGTAAATGTTCTGACTTATGCTTCTAATTTTTTTTTTTAAAGATTTCTTTATTTGACAGAGAGAGACACAGCAAGTGAGGGAACAAGAGCAGGGGGAGTGGGAGGGAGAAGCAGGCTTCCTGTAGAGCAGGGAGCCTGATGCGGGGCTGGAAGGCAGATGCTTAACAACTGAGCCACCTAGGCGCCCCCCCCCCTTTAAAAACATTTTATTTATGCTTCTAAGATTTTTAATTTAATTTTTTAAGATTTTATTTATTTATTTGACAGACAGAGATCACAAACAGGCAGAGAGGCAGGTAGAGAGACAAGAGGAAGCAGGCTCCCCGCTGAGCAGAGAGCTCGATGTAGGGCTCGATCCCAGGACCCCGGGACCATGACCTGAGCCGAAGGCAGAGGCTTCAACCCACCGAGCCACCCAGGCGCCCTTATGCTTCTAAGACTTTTAAAAGTTGATTATCTAATTGAAGTTTTGATATTGATGTAGCATTAATGGCCAGCAAACAGAGCACATTATTATTCCTTCTTTACCATAAAAATATTTAGTACAGTACCTACTACTGCAGCTAACCCAGAAATGCCATAGGATGGCAAGCAGAAAAAGCTGCACTTGGTTCCTCCTTCTGGCTGCCCTGAAGACTATACCGTATCATTTGAAGCACACCTCTATTACAGAAAAACCCTTAGAAATCTGTCATTAATATTTGCATTTGATCCCTTAGAAACAAAATAACAAATAAGATAGTGTTAGCCAAATGAAACAAGCAAAGGAAGCAAGAAAGGGCCATGCAAGCAAAAATAAAAAGTAAATAAAGAAAAAAAAAGTAAATACAGTATATTACATTTACAGATAAAATAGAAGAAAAGTGACTGTCCATTGACTAAGGAGGAGTTTACTGGATGTCTATTTATATCAAAACTCAGAGACAGACACTGAGAGGATTTACCTAATTATATTCACTTCACCCACTTTACATATGAAAACAATGTGGCACACAGAAGCTACTCCCTTGCCCAAGGTCACATCCAGTGAGCAAAGGAGCGAAGTAAAGGCTCACATAGTATGCTATGTTGCCTCTGTGTAAAACCATCCCTGCTCTTTAGGAGTTTACAATGATCATCAAGTTATATTGAGCTGGGAGGGGAAAAAAAATACATACAGACAGAGCGCGAGGAGATTTTTATTACTACTAAAATTGCTGCTTAGAAGTAAACATCTTTGAAAAAGTAGTAAATGAGATCTTAAACTTCAATGACTGATCTAACTATAAATTAAAAACTGAAGTGTCAAAAGCATTCCCAATATATAGTCCTGGTATTTATTTATTTATAGGATTTTATTTATCTATTTGACGGAAAGAGAGAGCACAAGTAGGGGGAGCAGCAGGCAGAGGCAGAGGGAAAAGCAGGCTCCCCGCTGAACAGGGCTCGATCCCAGGACCCTGGAATCCTGACCTGAGTTGAGGGCAGATGCTTAACCGACTGAGCCACCGGCTCAGCCACTGAGCTCACAAGGCTCCCTGACTAGTATTTATTTAAAAAAATAGGTTGTAACGAGAATCTGGTCTTTTTAATTTGGTTTCCATTATTAGGCCTTATGTTTACAGGATCTGTTCAGCTATCACAAGAAACCACACAAACTGGTTATCATACTGAAGTTTTCTCAGACAAATTTTGGAAGAAATCAATAATACCGTGGTTACTTTAGCATATCCTGATTGCATTTTCAAAGGCACATCTGTATTTACATGTGAAAACTACGGGTCAGGAAAGGTGAACGAATTTGGCAGTGCTTGATTATGAGGCAAATAACATCAGTTCCAGAACCCAGGTGTTCTGATGCCCAGCCCACATCTTTTCCAGTTCAATTAGGGAAAGCTCATGCTTCCACTAATGCTTTGAAGATCATAACACTACAGGGTGATCCTTTCCTTCCCCTCCAGGGAGGGAAGAGCGGCTCTTTACATGGAGCTTAGTAGGAAGCAGAGGCAAGTAACAGGGGCTAGGTCTTCAGTCAGGCCTGGAACAAACAAACATTGTTGGTACAAAGAAAGGCACAGGCAAAGCCCGATTTGATTCTGGTCCAGTAACAGCTGAACACAATTGATGACTGCATGAAGGAGGCCAGAAGCCTGTCTGTCCAGGCAGCGCGGCAAAAGACACTCGGCGATTTTATAACATTCTTAGCATTCTTGCCCTGAAAACAAAAAAAAAGATAGCTGCTGGGAAGTGAGGATCTTGTGACCTGGACTGCAAAGGGAGGAGGGACAGAACCAGAGTTGGCTGTTTTCTCTCTCTGGCCACCTGCTAAAGATTTTCTGAGACTGACAGAGCATAACACTTGAATTCACGGCCATCCATTTCCTTTTTGTCAAGACACAAAATCAGATAAAAGGAAAAAGAAATCTTTTTCCGATGGGCAACTACAATTTCTATTATACACAAAGAAACTAAAAACAAACAAACAAACAAACACACACCCAGGAGAATATGAATAATCTCAAGGCTTCGATGTGCTGAATTTAAGTCTTAATCTCCAAAAAACCTATCCATCCGCACTTCAAAAAGTATCAAAGGAGCAAAGCTCTCCCTCTGCCTGCCACTCCCCACTGCTTGTGCTCAAGCATGCCTACTCTCTCTCTGACAAATAGATAAAAATTAAAAAGAAAACAAGAAAACCATGAAAAGTATGTTTAAGTATCTTTGTATTGTGATGCTAAGAGGTTTTTAGGTTTCAAATGAACTTGTGACTTATTCTTTTTCCATGAAAGTTGACTTAATCAGCCTTAGTGTTATCACCCTGACAGCTTCTTCCTGCACAGACAGCCTAAGTTCTGACTACACGAATGGGCTGGGAGAGCCTCTATTTGAGTTTTCAAAAGCTCACATCCAATAATAAATGTAACCAATCCCCAAACTGCATTCATAGTTAGTTAAATAAAAATAATTTGAAACTAACTTACAATTTCCGGAATACATGCTGGAAAGAGTCTGAATTTCAAGAGACTGGGGAGCAAATAAGTTCCCCAGTCCTACAAGAGGCTCCGTGAAGGTGGTAGACTCTAAAAAGAGCAAGGCTAGTGATCCATCTATTTGGTGATTTTTTTCTTTCTTCCATCCCACTCTACTTCTGTGAGCCATCTGTGGTAGATTAGATTATTATTCAGCAAATATTCACTCCCTCCCCAGGCATCCCTGAGGGGGGAATATATTTCTCCACTCCAGTGATGTTGGGCTTGGCTCTGAGACTTGCTTTGGCTTCAAGGTGGGTGCAGTCTGCTAGCCACCCCATGCCTTTCGGCACAATCACCTGACTTGCTTTGGTCCAAGGGATCTTAGCAGATGTAGCACACCCAGACACCTGAACTGTGCTTCTTAAAACTTTTTTTTTTTTTTTTGAAGATTTTAATTATTTATTTGACAGACAGAGATCACAAGTAGGCAGAGAGGCA